GGGGGAGGGCAGCAGCCGGTGGCCAGGGCTTGCTCCCCGCTCTGGGAGGGGACCACATCACCACACGGTGCCACTCCTGCCCCCCAAGTCAGCTAGCAGATGTGTTTCCAGCCCCAAGGAGACATTCATCCTTCCCAGGCAGGGATCTCTGCTCCCTGCCTGGTTTCTCCCCTTCAGCGTGACATCCCGCTGTGCTGACCAAGGGGTGCTCTGGGGGTAGACCCTCTACTGGGAAGCACCCACGGTATGGTTTACTGTGGTGTCAGTGGCCATCAGCTCTCAGCCTCATTGGCAAAGGGCAAGATCCCAACGGATCGAACTAGTGATCCTACACCTCCCCAAAAGCAAGGCCAAGAACACCCACCCCTTTGGCCAGCCACGTTCTCCCTGACACATAGGATGGATAACAGGTCTCATCCCAGATGCTGCGCTCACCTTGCACCAAAACCTGCACCTCCGCCTGGGCCACCCCTGCCCGGTTCCTGCCCTGGCAGATGTAGAGCCCTTCATGCCCAAGCCCCATGCGGGCGATCAGCAGAGTCCCACCATCCTCCGACAGCACCGCACCATCCCGCTCGCCCAGTGGTTGCCCATCCTTCAGCCACCTGCAAGGAAGGGGACAGGCAGCAAGTCCTTCGTCTGCCCTGCCACCCCTCACCCCCCATTTCTGCCCACCAAAGGAGTGAGCAGCGGGGTGCTGGCAGCAAGGACTGTCCCCTTGTCAGCTGGAAAGGGGCTGGCAGTGCCCAGATCATTGGCTAGAGCAGGATCCCAGGGGCAAGCAACAGGAATGAATGCCTCCTGTCCTAAGAGCCACGCCAAACTGGAGGTCCCATCCTGATCTCTGCCACAGCTTTGCGTGCTGGGCTGCAGAGCACCCCCAGGATGTTACACAGCCCCGAAGGGAGCGCAGGGGAACGTGGGCAGGATCCACCGCTTCCCAGTACTCACTGGATCTGGGGTGTGGGGATGCCCGTGGCACGACAATGAATCCTGAGGGAATCGTTGGCGACAGCCGTCAGGTGGCTTTCCCCATCGCCGATCAGCAGCTGGGGGGGAGCTGGGGGGAAAAGGGACCTCAGGTTGGGAACCACCCTCAGACCCTGGCACAGGGATGTGGGGACAGCCAAGGGCTTGGAGGTTGCAGGACCCTGGTGGTACATTAAGACCCAGAGCCCACGGAAGGAGCATTTTAACCAGTGGACACGAACCTTGGACGTGCAGGCTGTAGCGGAGCGAGGCGTTCCCCGCGGTGTTTGTGGCCGTGCAGGTGTAGAGGCCGGTGTCCGTTACCTGGAGCTCAGCCAGCCGGAGGGACCCCGAAGGGAGGATGCTGTAGCTTGAGGGAGAAGGAACAGAAAAGCTGGATGGGAGGAAGAGCCATGTCATCTGTCACCTACCCCTGGGCAGGAGCTAAGGGCTGAGAGCTCACCATCACCTTGAGACAGTCAAGAAAAGGTCCCCAAGGCCACCTCCTGCACAAGGGGAGTGGTAGAGCCATCCACGGGTGCAAATCCCCTTTGCTCAGCACGAGGCAGCGGCACGAGCCACCCACTCGGGGGGACGGGGGTCCCCATGGAGCACAGCCCCTGCAGCTGGAGCTGGCTGTGCTCTCACTCCCAGTGCTGTCTGTGCTCCACAGACATAACATCATCTCAGCCCACGGCTGCAGATTCCTCCTCGTGTGCTCCCATAAATCACCCAGGCACGTGAAGACAAGCCAGCTGAGATGTGGGGAGCAGCACAGCTCAACCAGGAGCAGCCAAGGGAAACCAGACAACAACAAGGCAACACCGTCCCTCAAGAAGAGCAAAACCAAGATGCCTTCCTGCTTCCCCAGGGCACAGCAATCCTCGGTGCAGGGAAAGAAGTGATCAACCCCAAGACTGGGACCCATGATTTTAGGGAGCCCCTTCCAGCGTGGTGCTAACGGACTGAGAAAGCGTGTCCTGCTTCCAAGGAGGAAGACCAAGACACTTGATAAAACAGATAGCCAACCACTCTCCAGGTTATCTTCTCCCATCAAATCGCATTCTGTGACTATCGCATGGCTGCCATCAGCCTCAACACCATCAGCAAGTGAATCTGGCCCTCCAGAAGTGACCCCCTGGAACAGAACTGGCCTTTAAACCCATGTCCCAGTGCAGACCAAGCAGTCGCTGGGCTCACAACTGTGCTTCTGCCAAACCTTGGCCTGGGAGCATCTCAGTGCCTAAAGCCCATGAAGTCACCTTGGCATATGGGCTGTGAGGGGCAGCGGAGACTGCAGTACCCCCAGCCTCCCCGGCTGCCCATCCTCCTCTCCACACTGCTCTCTTCCTCCTCAGTGCCCTGGGTGCAGAGCAGCGTGAAGCCTCGGACCAACACCCCGCAGGGATCCGCCATCCCCAGGCACATCCTCGGCCTCACCACCTCCAGCACCGCGACGGCACAAGACAGGAACACACACAACGGCAGATGGGCGAGCGGAGCCGAGGAGCTGTGCTGGAGCCACCTTCCCTTCCCAACCCCAACCTGTATCCAGGGCAGGTGTGCAAAGGGTTGGGAGCAGCTGCTCCATCCCAGCAGATGTTTGTATGATGGGAAAAAAAAAAAAGCCTGGTGGTTCTTGCTCTGCTCTCCTTGAAGCGCAGACCTAATGCCGTACCACTCAGCTGCCTTGGCTCCTGCCAGAGTGTTGAGCATCAGCTGCTTGATGCCAGGGATGCCCTTTGGATCTCCTTACCAAGCAGCTGAGTCCCTTCACAGATCCGACATCCCTCTGGGCTGACACACAATCCCAAGAGATCGTGGCCCTGGCACCCACAACTCTTCTTACCTCGTGGTGGTGAGAGGCAGCGGCTGGGACTCCTGCGTCCACATCACCAAGGGAGGGGGATAGCCTTGAACCTCGCAGGGCAGGGTGGTCTCCTGCCCAAGCACAGCCAGGACGGTTACGGGGTCTGACGTCTGTGATCCGTTCACGCCGATCCTGGGCTTTGCTGGGTGGAGAAGGAACACAGCTGGTGCAGGAATACTTCAGGTGCCCCACAGCCCTCATTGCTGCTCTTCCCATCCCACAACCCCATCTGGGACCTGGGTAGGTGACCCAAGGAAGGTAGGAGAGTCTCTGGGTCACGCTCTCCCAGCCGGGCACCCTCTGGAGCTGCTTTACCGGGAGCTGGTGCCAGGGTCAGTCCCACACTCACTGCTGATGGAGAGCTGCATCTCCCGGCTGGAGAAGCCTGCTGCGTTGGTAGCTGTGCAGAAGTAGGTCCCAGCGTCATCGAGGGAGGACGAAGGGATCAGGAGGGTCCCATTGGGGTCGAGGTGGTAGAGTGAGCTCAGCAAAATAGGCTCCGTGCCCTGCAAAGGAAAGGGAAGGAAGAAGAGAATCAACAGAGGCTCTCCCACGAGCTGAGCATCAAGAGGAGGGCTCTGGACCCATCAGAGCGAGCTACCTCCCAGTCCCAGACTCACAGGGCACTTGGTGCCATCCCCCCCCCCAGCCAGCCACAGCCATCCTGGCGAGCTGCATCCCCTCCAAACACGTTACCCCCTGCCCAAGAGTGACCCATAGCCCAGCTGGCAGCAGGATGGCAGCCTGCCTGTCCCTGTCACCTGCCTTTGCCCAGGTGACAGTAGGGGGGGGCACACCGGTGGCATTGCATCGTAGGACGACAGCTTCTCCCTCAGTGGCAGTGATAAGGACAGGGCCAAGCTCAATGCTGGGAGGAACTGGGAAGAAAGAGAAGCACCTCATCCTGTGTCCTATGTCCAAAGACAGAGCGGTGCTTTGCAGCTTAAGAAGTGAGGAGGGCACCCGCCCCTGTTCACCGCAGCATGGGGATGCCCAGCACCCTGCCACTCACCGTGGATGACCAGGGACACGTCCTGCCTGTGGTGTTGGTCACCTCGCAGGTGTCCCTCCCAGCATCCCCCTCCGATGCCTGGTCCACGTGCAGGCTCCCGTCAGCCCGGATGGAGTAGCGGCTGCTCGGGGATACCTGGGCACGGGTAGAGAGCAGAAAGCAGGACAGACGGGAGGGTCAAACATTACCGTCTGGCTGTGTCTTTGGGGCATATCTAGAAACTGATCCCCGAGCAGTAGGAACATCCTGACGTGGTGATAAACCCACATTACCCTCCCAACTCAAATGCTCCCCCACCATCTTTCACCAGCAGCTTTGGCCCCGGGAGGTTGGGGCACCCGTCCTGCAGCACAGCCCCAGCCACAGGG